TTGGCCCAATTCTTTTAAAGCGTGGCTATTAAATTCGAACCAGGGGTGATTAATCCGGACCAAAGAGAAGTTCCATCAGGCTGTCCCTAAACAGGAGGAGAATGACTTCCATAGTAAATTCCTTAACAGCGATTAACGGCCAACTGTATGAACAAGAAGCTTTCGAAGCTTTATACGTTGGGAGCATTGATTTCGGCTTAGGGATGTGAACTTTAAAAGGACTTCAAAGTGCGGTAAGGTAAGGTCTATAGGATGAAACACACGTTAGACTCGTGAAATTCTCACGGTATTAAATTGCGAATGCCTAATCGTGTCACAGTACAACAGATTTTTAGTGAATATACATACTGCCAGACAGATTAAAAGGAAATATTCCCTTTAACGCAATTTCTACATCGACATCTTTTTTCCGCTGTCAGCCAACAAAGTTTGTCTAGCTGGAACTTAAAGTGTTCCCTGATTTGACTAATCCGAATTTCCGTACAACCGACTACTATGGTGGGGACTGTCTTCAAAACTTATAAATAATCATGGAGGTTGCTGTATTAAGATATAAAATAGACTCGGTCCGGGCAACCGTCACATGCGTTCGGATGAGTTTTACCAGTCGTGCCTGATCTCTCCGTCCGATTTGCCTTTTCAAATATCACAACTCTCTCCAAGAATTACAGCATAAGTTGAGCTGCCGATAACTTCTGATGCGAGCATGGTTACTTTTAATCACTGGTCGCATTAGCGTTTACGACTCCCGCGAATGTATGCAAAATCTGGCTTGATTAGTGTGAGACGCCTGCAAATTAGCACAACACATTGAAGATCTGAAAACTAGTTTTGAAAAGCGTAGGAAGATCACGAGCTCCAGTGAGGTATCGAGTCCTGCGGATTTTGACTAACGGGTTACAGAATCAAACCGTCCAACTTATTGTACATATTCCAATTAAGATTTAAAACATTTTACGCTTTGACACTAGTCTCGGGGTGATGCGGTCTTCCAGAGGTTCGACAATATTCGCCAGCTGACAGTGAGTGGAAAAAGTTTGACGCAAGACTATTGTTGCTTTTGACTCGTTGGAATCACTGGAGATGTGTGGTAGTGACCTTGTGAACCATCCTGCCTTTCGAAAATTCCGGCAACTTCTCAAGTCTCCTCACTCACTAACGCCTAAACCGACTGCTTTGTTCCCACAACACCAACAATACGTTTGCTCGGTTTTTTCCAGCTCGCAGAGGAAAATCATGGTCTCTTTTCCTCCTCTATAGCCACAGAATTACAAATGGCGGCTGTATCGACATTATCGCATCTATCGACCTTCCACATACCACCAAAACCTTTTTTATTCGAAATTTTTGATAGAAGGGATGGCTTTACAGTAACTGGAGTGAGCAGCTGCGACCTCGCCGTCATACCCTTTTCAAGTTTTCCCTAAAATGATTAACCAAAACAAGTAAGCACACACCACCACATCCTACTTTGATTTGTTGCAACACTCACTTTCAATCTTCATATATTCAAGTCACAAGTTCTTTCGGGGGAATTTCGCGAGCCTAAGCTCTGTAATCCGCGCGGCCTTTTTATAATGACATCTTCATCTCCGTTCTTTGTTACAGTTCACCAGCTTTTTGAGCTTCTGTAATGGTAAGGGTTACAGTCCAGCCTACAAAACCGAGCATCAGGCTTCTGGGCAATTATAGCTGTGAAAGGAACTAAAACATTTAAAATTAGCGCCTCTTGAGGCATTTGGCCTGCGTTTGGCACCGAATTTGTATTGGTCCGAATTATTTGTTACGAACTTGAATTTCTATACGGTATGAAGGGGAGACCATATAAGGGCTCATGAAATTTAGCCGTGGATTTAAACCACATCGTAAACTTTACAAGCAACATTGGTAAATGTAGCGTTACGATGTTTTATAAACGGGCATTTCACGATCTTAAATTGCATAATTAGAAACTTTTAAAACCGGATTATACCTTTTATTTAAGCGTAAAATCCAAAGAAGACGTTTTTTCTGCCAAATACGTATAAAAATGAATATTTTTAGCATTTTTTATATGGAATATAATTGAATTTATAAAAATATCGAAAATTAGTAAGAAAAATCCATACTAATTTAGTATTCATTTTTCACAACGTTTAGTTTTTGCAGGCGACTGAAAAAAGTTCATTCAAGAGCCCGCATCCTGAAATAACTGAATTATTATGGGATTATGCTTCATGGTGATTAATATTGCAACCCTTCTTAAGTAATGTTTCCGACCCGAGAATGTAGTTCAGAATTAATGAGTTAGCACATCTACTTAATAGGGAGTTTTGTCTAGAGTGCATTAGATTTCCTATCCGGACTACCGGTTTGATCACGACCTGCCGGTAAGTCCAGAAACTCTTGCATAAGAGCACTAGGCTAATGCTTAGCTCGGTATACTTAGACCTAGATTTTGTTCCCAAACTTTCACACAATGTCGTTTTGCGAGTTTCTGCTCATCCTGTTTTAACCTCTTCCACCTCAAATCGCTACGACACTGTCTTTCTAATACAGTACAGTTCGGAATGCCTCTCAGTTTGCCTTACACTAGTCGATATTGCGTGGGGACTGTTAGTGGAATGGATCAGAATGAATTGAGGCCAATAATGTGGTGGGTAGGTTACTTTCCAATGGTAAGTGTTTCAGTCAATGGCCCATTGTCTCGTCCAGTGGTTTCCCAGGTTGATATCTCAGTGAACATTGCCACGGTCGGATAAGCGTCTTTCTCCTCTGGTTAGGCAGCAGAACTGAACTGAACTGCTCCGCCGCCTTATTTTTACTGTCTTTTTTCAATTAGACTGCTGAAATGCTATACCATTTGCGTAGCCCTTTGGGGCAATCATTAACACCACACTCATCCACATCCCCGTGAAAAGATCCAGTTAGCAACCCCCACACCACACCAACCAACAAGGTTTAGAGTTCGGGCTTCGACTATGTCCTTCCATTTTATTTGTCACTTCCGCGCTTCCGACTCTTCGGGAACCCCTCTCTCCCCGCCACTCGAACATATTTTACGTTCTTTGGTTGTAGATATCCAGAGGGAACTCTTGTGTCATTCTCCTACTCGTTTTAACTACGATCATTTTGTCTTTTGTAGTTATTGAAACAAGATGGCAAGCGAATCGGCCGTAAAAAAGGCTTTAGAGACTCAGCTCCATCGTGCTGTTCAGGCCATTGAGGATACTGTTGACGAGGAGATTGCCAAAATCGAGAAGATGGATGAAGACGATCTGGAAAAGATTCGTCGTAAACGCCTGGAGGAGATGAAGGAAAAGGCCCAAAAGAAAGAGGCCTGGATAGCTGCCGGTCACGGAGTCTACACAGAACTGCCATCAGAGCGTGATTTCTTCACTGCCTGTGCTAATTCTCCGGCCCTGGTGTGCCACTTCTACCGATCTAGCACTTTCCGTTGTGGAATCGTCGACAAACACCTTGCCCTTCTTGCTCCCCGTAGGGTTGAGTGCCGTTTCGTGAAAATTGATGCGGAGAAATCGCCCTTTCTGACTGCGAAACTTGGTGTGCGGGTGTTGCCGACGCTGGTGCTTGTGAAGAATGAAAAAGTCTGCGACATGATCATCGGATTTGATGACCTCGGTGGACATGATGACTTCAGCACAGAGATGCTTGACTGGCGTCTTGGCGTAGCCGGTGTGGTGGACTATCAGGGTGATTTAAACAGCCCACCAGATCTTCAGAAGAAAAGCCAAAAACCAAAGAACCCATTTGGTAGACGACCCAAGAAGACCATACGTGGCCGTGAGAACGACTCGGACGACACCGACGAGGGCGACGAATAGTTGGTTCTTTATGGGCGGTTTTTCCAACCTAGGTGCGACTGTATTGTCGCACACCCTCATCCATGTTTGCGGACTACCTCCTGCAGTCTCATCTTCTGACCGCTTGAGATGAGGACTGCAGTTAATCTCTCTTCTAATGAAAAACTGCTACTCAGTTTGCATTTGTATCCTCCGCATCCCCCCACCAGCGAAGTGTTCTGACTTCTGTTTTATAAACTAACTGTGTTTTCAACGAAAAAAATGAATTGGTTTACGAGATTGCGTTTTTATCTCCACACGCTTTCCTGTTGGGTCTTTGCCTCCCGCGTGGGAAGCGCGTGCGTGTGTATGTGTGATGTGGGGGGGGGGAGTTGGCGTCCGCAACAGGCTGTGCTGTAGATGCGCCTGACCAAAATAGCAGTCATCCCGACTCACGAGACGCGCCTACCCGGCTGCGCCGAGTCCGTGCAAGTTCCCAACTGCTGCTGTGCACGTGCGTAGTGGTAGTGCCGCATGGGCCACTGTCTAATGCCATCACCAGTTAGTTTACGACCTCGGACAGCTGACCGGTGCATGAGCGAGGGGAGAAACAGTGACACCGACATAAGGGGGGAATCCTTATTTACGACAAATCAGCTCGTCCCCCACCAATAAATTTGAGGTGTTTTGATCCACTGTGACGCACTAAAAGTCATTGCTCCAAAGGTCGTCAACTGACGGGACAACTCGGTCCTCCTCAGGACTGGGAGCCAGGCTGCAATAACGCCTTCTGAATACGACCTCTGTAACACTCCCACTGCTACAGGATCTGAGTCGTTTTTGCGGCAGCCCGATGCGTGTTGTCGGGGCTGGGTCGTGTGTGGCACATCCAGACGGGTTGTTTAGTTCCGTCAATCACTGCGCCCGCTCTCCCACCTTCAGTCATTTTGACAGTGTCTAACTATCAGGGCAAGGTGGGTGAGGGAAGGGAGTGTGTTGGGCGCTTTGCAAGTCGCTGATGCCGCACGGCGGAAGTCGTCGTTCGCGACGGTCGAACTGTCGTAATGCAAAGAGACAGAGAGTTAGAGATTAATGGCGATCAGTAGTTAACTCTACTTGGCAGTTCGATCCCCCTCGGCTAGAGTTTGCAGTCCTCACTGTGATCCTAGCTCCCTGTCTGCCAGTTTCAAGCTTCGATGACCTATAGACTGTGTTGTCGAGGATGAGTAAGGTCGCTAAATCGGTCGATTTATACATAAAGGCTGGGGAGACCAGTGTTTTCTAGTTGCATATCTGACCAGGAAAAGGCACCCCTTGGGGTTAGTGAATGAAAGCTCAAAAATAGACAATTACAAATACTCCAGGGTGGGGCTTCTGTCAAATAATCAGAGTAAGAACGACGTCTCCCGAGTCGATGCTACTCGCAGAGTTTATGCAGTCTCTAGACTGTGTCTGTGGACCCTCCTCGACGTCTCCATCGTCACGAAGACCCACACAGCGCGCATCCTCCTCTTGCATGACATCGGTGTGGAGTGGGGCTGCAGCCTGTTTGCGTTTTTGCGACTTCCTGGGCCCCAAACGGGTCACGTGGTAGGTGCGCTGGACCCACACGGGGGCATATCGGATCTGCGAACCATAACAAATGCCAACATTTCAGGGGGTGCGGTGGCGGACACCGTTGCCGGCAGACATCACGCACACTGGGAATCCTGCCGCCCCCCACCCACTGTTGGTCAAAAACCTGGTCATTTCCTGTGTGGAGCGGAACGCCAGGGTGCAGGATCGACTGTGCCGTCCACCTGCGCCCTCCCCCGCCCGGTCGTCCTGATTCTGTCTTGGCACCGGGTCCAGGTGGGGGAGGTGAGGGTGCAGTAGATGCTGTGCAAGTCGACATTCATTATAAACTAACTCACGCGCAAGTCACCGTGTCTGTTTCACCTTGCTGTGGGGCACACGGTGGACATCGTCGGCGACGACGGTTGAACTGTTAACTAGCGCAGGTATCTACCGCGCTCTGCTTCATTGATCACTGGGTAGGAAATACTACTGCTGGGCAGGGTAATAAGAGCTCCCCCCTACTGCAGATGGCCTTGCTCCGAATCCCTAACCCTTACCCCTAACTTAACATTATCTCTAACTCTAACCCCGCGGAACTTAGCGCAAGATCACCTCTGATACGAGGGGGGGCTTCCTTTTTACGGTAGATGCTGTGCAAGTCTACATTCACTATAAAGTAGTTCGCGTACAAGTAACCGTCCCTGTTCCACCTTGCTGTGGAGCACACGGTGGACATCGCCGGCAACGACGGTCGAACTGTCGTGCGACTTTCCGGCCCCAACAAGGGGCTGCGCTGCAGATGTGCTTGAACAAAACACCGGTCGCTGGGCTCACAGTGCGCGTCTGTCTGGCTGCGCCGAGTCCGCAAAAGTCGCTAACCGCTGCCGGACACGCGTGTGGAGACAGGCCTTAGACCTAGACCTTTACTCCGCGTCATCCATTGCACCTGATCTCATCACCGGCTAGTCGACAGGCTCGGACAACACGGGCGAGAGAGGGAACCATGAGGCTAACGCTTGGGGGAATCCTTTCTCACGACAAACCAACGTATCCCACACTAAAATCTGACACACTTGAACCTACAAGAACGCGCCAAGAGCCGTGGCTGGGAAGGCTGCTAGCCGACAGGATAATTCGACACCTCTCAGAACCGAGGGCCAGACCACAATATTTCCCTCTTAATGTTACCTTTGCGATCCCAACACGAGATTCGAACCGCCCTAACTGCAGCCTGGTTCACACAATGGGGAACGGGTTGTGAGTGGCACGCGTAGAAGGACTTTTTGTCTTCGGCGTAGACTTCGCCCAACCCAGCCCTCTGCTGTCTTGTCATTGAAACAAGGTAGTTGAAGGGGGAAGGAGTGTGGCAGATGTTACATAAGTCCGCTTCACGATAAGGCAATTCACGCGTAAGTCACCGGTACCTCGCCTACTCTGCGGGCCAAGTGGTGGACATCGCTTGCAACGATCGAATCGTCGCACGACTTAGTTTTGCCTTTTCAACTGGCTTTAAAGTTCACTCGCATGCCTCATGTGACGTCTCTTTTCTTCCCCGTCTCCTCTTTGGAGGAGTCACATGACCCGCCGGGACGGTCCTCCTCTTCCGCCGACGCGCCTTGGGTGGATGCACGAAATATTCCGACCGAGGTCTGGTTGAACATCTTCGCCTTCCTTCCCACCAATGTGAAGCTGACTGTGATCGCCCGAGTTTGCCGGCAGTGGTATCTACTGACCCGCTCTCCCTGCCTCTGGCGGAACGTTGATCTGGGCTGGCGGATTCAACTGCCCGTTCTCAGACGTCTCATTTCCTACGGCATCCTTGGTGAACACGTTGTCTCAGTGAGCTTGACTGGTGTGAACTATCATCATTATCTGTCTTTATGTTTGTCTATGCCTTAGATTACACAACATACTGCGTCTACCACTCGTCTGCATGGGAAAAAGTTGTAAAAGACATCATCCGATCAGTAAAAATTAGGATTTTGTTACTACTGAACCTTCAGAGAACATTCAGGCGTAGTCTGTAGACGTCATTAGGTTGCGCAACTCAGTGAATGCAGTCTATCGACACACTTGTTATTGCATATTGACCCAATTGTGAAAAACTCGGCGCCTCGATGGGATTCGAACCCACGCAGTAAGGGGAAGGCTTTAGCACAGCCAACGCTCTAACCACTTGAGTTACGAGGCCCCGCCGGACGACTCGAGTTTAATTAAGTTTACCCGCCCAACCTACTGCAACATCTGGAATCTACCAAATCTGATACAGTAAGTTGACTGCCCAAGCAGGATTTTCTAAGTAATTCACCTAGAATCCACCAGATGACTACCAGGCTCGCGTAATTCGTATAGGCTATTACTGATAGATTGTTTTTCTGATACATTCGATAGTACGAGTTAGGGGAAACCGTTAAGAGAGGGATTCGGTCTCTAGAACAGTAGTTTTGTCCGTCTGATGTTTCGAATTCACGTGCAAATTCAGCGACAGCAGAGACGCAGTCGCTACGTTCCACATTCATCGCAGATGCTCACACTTGGTGCAATGGGGTCTTAGTAGCCAACACCTCAGCCCTTAATGACCGCGATTTAATCACTGGTGTTGGTGATTTACGTCATAATTACTCGTCTATTTGATCTGCGGGTTCGGTCAAATTACTCTGCCTGGACAAAGTCTTGTTACTGAATAGGGAGGGGGCGGGTAGGTCTTTGCGCATGCTGATAGACCTCTTGCAAGATGATAACCATCTAAGTCGCGAGTTGATTGAGTCACGATTCTACGGCCCACGGTTCATCAACAGACCTGGTGACCTTTTCATGCCCTATTCGGTGCTCGGACCCTGCCTTGGACTAGTGTTTAGTCTTACTTTGAACCCGTGAGTGAACACTGCTTCAATTGAAGTTGCAGGTTAACCTAATAGCCGAGCAATTATGACTCTAATCAACAACACTGCCATTGACGACTTTATTGTGAACGATTAAGTCACTACCACACTAGGTACAAACAGCTGCAGTGAATGCGGAAGCCGGCTACATGGTTGCGCAGTAATTGCATCCTTTACATCCCCTTTGCGGACGTTTGCTCAGGCCAATTTTGTGTCCCGTCCCAAGGTTGTGCAATCTCGCAAGTTCATATCCCGGTCGCCAATTGATGCTTGTGTATGTTTGTAGGGACGACTTTTTCCGACCCACCTTCGTAACATGTGTCGCATTTACTACAAGATGTTTCGCCGGTCACTGTTTCTGCTTTACCAACTACAGTAGATGTCCTAACTCATGAAATGTCAACCAAAATTTCGAAATGCGTTCTCGTTTCGAAAAGATAGATTAAGTAGTGCTGTAAAACTAATCATGATGCAGCATAAATCTCTAATGATCCAGTTACCTCAGGGTGTCGGCTTTTAAAAGAACTTATTTTCGGCTGCATGCAAGATCTATACTCTGCAAAAAATGACTACTTAAGTAGCATGCAATTTTCTCATTGATTT